TCGACCCCTTTGGCGGTCGAACGACCCTTTCACAGGGGTCGCCTAAGACCATCCTGCATATCAGATATTTACATTATGATTCATAACAGTAGCAACATTACAGTTATGAAGTAGCAACGAAAATTTTATGGTTGGGTCACAACATGAGGAACTGTATTTAAAGGGCCAGAAGGTTGAGAACCACTGCTTTAGAAGATAGGGGACTTTTGGGGACCAACCACCCTGGTGCTGGCTTCTCTCACTACCACCAGTTTTGTGTTGGTGACCTAGTGGCATCATGGGAGGGGCATCTCATGGTTGGTTGGGTCCTTACTCTGGCCTGTGCTCAGGCGGCAGGTACCTATACGGTCTAGCAGCAGCGTGTGTGAGTTGTTCCATTCTGTCCCGGCAGAAACTGTGTAAATGGCTGTCAGAGATTGGTGCCCTCTGGATAACCATCACGCTCTGTGGGTTCAAAGGAAAATCCAAACTTGGTGGCACGCAAGAGCTGGGACCTGTGTTGGATAACGAGGGGATGGCTTTTTGATTGTTATTATTGCAGTGGTAATATCCAGGGTTGAGAGACAAATTTCATTAATGGGAAATATTGCCTCTGAGGTTCTCTGCGACATAGCCCAGTCTACCTTTTAAAATTGATTTTCTTTTGCAGTATGGAGGGTAAAACCTCTGGTTTGGAAGTCAGACAGGTCTGCATTTGAAGCCTCATGCACCAGTTTCTTAGCTTCTCAGAGCTTTGGTTTCCTTATTTGTAAAATGAGGATAATTATGCCTACCTTGAGAGCTCATTATGAAGAACAAATGAGTTAAAATATGTGAAAGCACCTGATATAGTAGGCACTCAGTATATGCTAGGGTCCATTTCTGCCCCCCTGCCTGCCCATCTTTCAACACAACAGAACAGCGTGTAGCATAGAAGGACTGGTAGTGATTCTGAGGCTTTCAGTTCTTATGTAACTCTGGTCCAATCCCTTCCCCTCTCCAGGCCTCCGTTTTCTTAGCTGAGTGAGAATGTTAGGCTATGTGACCATTAAGAGTGGTCCTAGTGCCCCGCCTGTGTTGCTCAGTGGTTGAGCTCTGATCTATGAACCAGGTCATAGTTCAGTTTCCTGTCAGGGGACATGCCCAGGTTTTGGGCTCAATCCCCAGTAGGGGGCGTGCAGGAGGCAGCTGATCATTCTCTGTCATCATTGATGTTTCTGTCTCTCCCTCTCCCTTCCTCTCTGAAATCAATAAAAATATGTTTTAAAAGAGTAGTCCTAGCTCTAGCATTCTGATTAGTATGCCCTCATATTTTCTTGAAAGACAGGAGAGAGGAAACTAATGACCTGTTCTTTAGTTTTTTAAAAAAATATCTGTCTAGCACTTTGCCTGGCACAGAAAAAATGTTGCAACATTCGTGACATTAGTGAACCTCAACATGAAAGACAAAAGTTGTTTAACAGTCCCATTTCATCCCAAATTAAGTTCATCCAATTTATGTACATAAACATGCATAATTTTTAATGGTTACAATAATATATATGTGAGTATTTGGGAAAGACCTGGCAATAAGTGGTTTCTTTAAATGATGTTTTTATCTTATTTTTTAAGAAATTAAAAACAGAATCACACATGGATATTTTTAAAGGCAAGTAGTTCAAAGAGGGAACAAATGTAAAATTTCTTGCCTTGAGGTTCTAGTTCCTAGTTCTTCTCCCTAAGGCAAACACTATTACCATTATTTTTGTTTATTATATACTTTTTCTCTCGTACAAATTATGACATTCTGTACACACTCTTGCTGTTTCATCTGTTAACTTGATCTATTTGGGAAATTGTCCCAACACTGGAAAATGTTCCAATTGGTAGGTAGAGTTCCTCCTTAATAAATGTTTTTGACTGATATTGAAAGCACAATTTTGATCTCCATTCCACCACCCACCCCCAATGATGTTTACTCAGTAATGGTTAGCAGTCATTGTTTAGAAGAATAACAAGAGATAGCCCTTGTTCTCCTTTAGGAAAGAAATGGCTTTGGTCCCAGTGAACAATAGACTAAAGGGTAATCCACCTATTTGGATTCAAGGCAGAGGACAGAGAAAGGAAAGGGAATTTGTTCACTAGTCATTGAAAACTGATTTTTCATTCACATATTATTCATAGTTCAGCTCTGTCACTTACTGTATTACTTGAGACAATTTACCTAATTTTTCTGTATTTTAGTTTCCTTATTTATAAAATGGATAATGATAATAGGATCTGCCTTTTGGTTTTTTTGTGTAGAGGAAATGAGACCATAAAGGCAAGTACTTGCAGCAATAGCAGGTGGTAGTAGATGCTCAAGAAGGGTAGCTGGTATGTTATTCATAATCTAAAGTTGACTCTTATTCTTCATCAGCAGATATTTACTTAGCTGTTGAGGGTGAGCCATGGAGAATGAATGCCCAAAGTCCTAGCCCTTGAGATGCTCATATACTATTCAGGGAGACAGGCACACAAGTCACTGGTTACAAAACAGCATGGTGGGTGTGATGGTGGAGAGGTGGCCAGTATGGGGGCCATGGAGGCAGGAAACCATGACTTCTCCCTTGGTGATTTGAGAATGGCTTCCCAACTCAAATTTTCCCTTCTTTGTGAAACCTACTCAGTTATAGGCACAAGTGACTTTCATTGTTATACACCATGATGGGAGCATTGTTGCATGCATATTACTGCGCAGGGAGTCTCCTGCTTTCATTGTTGCTGAGTCTCCAGGATAGGCTTTTGTGGACATTGTGATGGATCTCTGCTCAGACACGTCATGCCAACAGTTGTTGGCAGACTCTTATCGATAAGTCATCAGGTCTCTGGTGAAACCCAGACTCTGGACTCTGTTACTTCATTCCCCAAGTATTTGAGTGCTTATTCCAAGACAGGCATGTACTGTGCCATATACCAGCTGTAGACTTTGGGTATGGCTGGTGCTACTTGTCCTACTAATTCTTAGGGATGGGAGAGGAAAGAAATGTTTGCTTCAGATGCTCCAGGATAAGATGGGGAGGCAGAAAAAAGGACAAATGTAAAAGTAAACTGCGTAGCTTGCTGACTCCCACTGCTCCTTTCCTCAGAAGTATGGCTGCTCACCCTTCCCTTGGGGTGGGGTTGTAGAGGAGCAGACCTGAGGGAGATGAGTAGGTGGTCTGTAAATTTTGACCAGGGGTAGGAGATAGTTGGTCAGGTTGGCTTCTGTGAGGGGCATCCTGGAGCATTTCTGGAGCCACTTTCTTAGAAAGAGAGAAAGTATCACTCCCTTCATGTGGCATTCATTCACCATCCTTGCTGGGCCCCTGCTTTGTTCTAAACCCTTTGCTGGATGCTGGGCCTATGCAGATGAAGGAGCTCCATTCTGTCCCTTGTGGAGCTGCTGGTTGGTAGGTGGAGAAGTCATATGTGATGGAGGACCTCAAGTGAAGTGGCCAAGAAGATTCAGACTCTGGAGCCAGGCAGACCTGGGTTCAAATCCTAGCTCTTCTCCCCTTGGCCTCTGGGACCTTGGGCAAGTATGCTCCCCCTTCTGAGTCTCAGTTTACTGATATGTACAATGGGGATAGCAGTGCTACCTTCCTTGGGGCTGTTGTTAAAGAGTCTGTGAAATAATGCAAATGTTTATCAGGGTGCCTGACAGGAAGCTGATGCTCACAGAGTGTTCACTGTCATTTTAATTATCCTCAGTGCTGTGGAAGCAGCAAGAAGCACCTCTTTGGCTATTTTCTCTGGGTTCTAGTATAGGGGAGTGGTGCTATTTGGGTGGTGAAGGTGAAGGTGATGGCTAAGGTATTAAAGAAAGCAACTATGAAGTCACAAAGTGCTCAAGGAGTCCATGAAACATTCCTCAGGGGCCCTGTTGATCCAGGGCCATGGGTTTGTCTACAAGTGTTTCTTCTTTTGCACAAGTTCTTCTCAAAGGTGATTTCCCAGCACCACCAGGAGCAATCACCTGAAACAATCAATTCCAGGACTTTTCCCTGTGGGGAGGCATGAGTCAGGCTTGTCTCACCTGTACTTACTGAGGTGAGCAGAGACCATGAAGACCCAGAGCAGCAAATCCTTCCACGGTTTTTCTGCAGAGCTTTCAAATCCCTTGTGTTCTTTGCAGAAGATTTATCTCCTGAGCATCAGAGAGGTAGATAGGGCAGCACTGAAAGTACAGACTCGAGTCAGGACGATGTGGGTTCGTGTTGTGATCCACCACTCACAAGCCCTGTGGTTTCAGGCAGGTGGTCACTCCTATTTCCTCACCAGTGCAGGAAGTGTGATGGTACTTACCTCCTCATGGTTCTTATAAGGCTTCAAGGAGGTGCTGTGGAACAGGACTTAGCATAGTGCTCACACACCATGAGCACCTGGTAAATGTGAGCTAGAATAACCAATGTTAGAGGGCTTTTTGGATGCCCTGTGGAGGGTGGCAGGTACAACTCGGCATGTGTAGGGAGTGCAGATGCAAGCTTAGGGCAGCCATAGGGCTCCAGTGAGGGAGAGGACAGAGTCACTTTGAGGGTGGGCCCTCTCTTCAGCCAGTTTAGGAACTGAAGGCTGGTGTCCCCAGTTCTTTCTTTTCTTCTGTGATTCCACATAAATAATGGGTCTTCAATAGGAACTGATGCAATATGATACTGTCCCTCTTTAGGATTTAAATAATTTTATTATAAGGTTTTATTTTAAGTTTAAGACAATTACTTGAGTAATCAGAAGAAAATTAAATGCTTGGTTCAACAGTCAAAGGTTTCTCTACGATCATCTTATTGGAGAGGAAAGAAAGAATAATGAACGTAATTAAATTTGTGTTTATTGGATACAATAATTCTCACTCACTCTTGTATAAGCTTAATAACTAGGTCAAGGGAATCTGTACTTTCGGTACATTTCTGAGTAATTAAATATTTATGGAAAACAAGTTAATAAATTTAGGAGAATTTGTTGTGTCTCTTTGTGGCAATAAATTCTATTATATGGAATTAGTGAATTTCACTATTTTGAAATATTTCTTATTTTGTGTCCTTTCTGTGGCTGTTTCTTTTTTCCCCTCTAGGCATCATTTCTCTAACACTTTGTCCACTAGCATTTGAAGATTGTTTCTCCATTAGGCTGTCGCAGCAAGCACCCTGCTGTAGGATGTAATAACACTGTGTGACCAACAGCCACTTCCTTGTGACTCCCCTACTGCTTCGCAGAGTAAGAGTCTGCATTTGTTCCTCCTGCCCTGATGATCTGAGTATGTCATTCCCTCTGCTCAAACCCCTTCATTGGTTTCTAAATTCTCTTAGTAAAAAGACCAAATTGTTAGCAAGGCCTGCAGGGTGTACCAATATGCTCTTCAGTGTAATTGTTGGTGGCATCTGTCTCCTCTGGTTTGGTATAATACAGTCCCATCAGATCATGCACTGTGGCTGCTTTGGTCACCATCGGGTCCTCAATGCCTGGCATATAGCATCTGGCTCATAGGTGCTCCATAGGTGTTTGTTGAATGAGTGCCCAGGAACTGATTTGAATCTATAAAATGAGAAGGTTGTTGGTTGGATCTGAGGTCCCTTTATTATAAAATATCCCAACACATTACAAAGTCTCTTAACACCAAAATTTTCAGCTTCATATTTATTCTGCATGGTAGGTGGGGGTAGGCTTTGAACTGCAGAGGATAAAATAGAAGCTCAGAGAGTTTAGACTGTTGAAGGTGTAGCTATGGGAGAAGTTTGGGGCTCCTCATGTGTCTTTTCTCACACCTTAGGCTGCCTCAAGGGGTGGTTTCTGACATACAGTGGAGGAGTCACAGGTGAGGTAAGGAAACAGAGAGATTCGTTGAAAAGACCTATTTGTAATATTTTCCCTTGGTTTTAGTTATTTTAATTTCCTGTTTATGAAATTTGAAAAGTTGAGTTCAATTTGGAGTGATGGGTTTTAAGGTCCGGTTTCATTCTAGGGACCAGGAAACCCTGGTCTTTCTTGTAAATGGCTCCAGTATAGTAATCATTGATGCTGATAGCTAAGATTAGAATTCATTCCTGTTTCGAAGCTTTTTAATAAAATCAGAAGTTACTTGCTGATTGATGTGTAGCATTCTTTTGATATTTTCAAAAGATGCTGGTTGTTTCCATTAGCTATTTCTATACTTTATCTCTGGGTAAACCTGCTACTGGGCTGTTTTGCAGTGAGCACTCCTGTGGCCTTTGTGCTCATCAGATGTAGTGCTAGTCCATCCCAAAGGTTAGAGATCATTGAGTCCATTCTCCCCACTTTCCGGATGAGCATGGGAACTTTGCCAGGGTTTTATACTCAGGTGTCCTGATTCCCTACCCAGCAACACTCATAGACTTCAGCATATCCATTTGCATATTGCAGTTTCTCAACAGCTACCGCAGCTCATGGAACATTGTGTATAGACGATGTCCACAAAGAAGCATTTCTCTCCGACGAAACCTCCGCGGCAAGGTTTTTTGTTGAATCTGCAGTGTGACTGCATGGGAAGAGGATCTAAGACCTGACTTAGTGCAGATCTGTGGCTGAGAAAAGGCAAGGCCTCTGGTGGGCTGTTAGCAACACACGCACTGGTCACAGGGGCTTCATCGTAATATTAGAAGGCTCCTTAAGGGCTGAAAGATTCTTGGAACTTAGTGTCATCAGCATAGCCAGTATACTTGTGGAACAGAGAGAGCAGCCTGGTATTACAGAAAGATCGCTGAATATGAAGCCAGAATGCCAGGTGTGTCAATTTGCTGTGACACCTGCTTCCCAAGCAAACAAGAATATCTCCTGTGTGTGCACATCCTTTCTTCAGTGGAAAGCCCCAGTTTTAAGATCTGAGATTGTTTTGTGAGGGTTGAGTCAGAGTAAAGAGAGCTGGGTAATATTAAAGTATTGTACCAACAATCAAAGGTAGCCTTATTCCTTCTTTGTTCCTCCCTGTCTTCCAGATCTACCTGCGTGCCGGCCCATCTGTCCATCCATCCATTCATCCACCCATTTATCCAGTCGTTGTTCAGGGCCTGCGGAGCGCCAGCACTATGCTGACTGTGGGGCTACAATAGAGGAGAAAGACAGGTCTGGTCCTTGCTATCTTTTAGCTTACAGTCTAGTAGTAGCGTTCAATACATATAAAAATAATAACAAGTATATGAAAAATTAATTATGATAATGGCTCCAGAAGAGGACTACAAGGGCTTAGAGGCCATAAACGGATGGTTTTATCTGGCTAGGAGGGTCAGAAATAGCCTCTCAGCGGAAAGGTGAATTGGAGTTAGCCAGGTGAAGAGGTGGCAGCTGTATCTGTCATGGTCCCAGCTGAGCAAGGGTCTGGTACATTCAAGAAGTAACAGCAAGCCAGTGTGGCTGGGACACCGATACTTGGGAGACACTATAGTGTTCCTGCCCTGGTGTTCACAGCACTGTTTTCCTGACCTGCAATGGGAATTCGGACAAATTCTACAGTTGCTGAGGCTTCTTCTTCAGAGCTCCCATCTGTCACCAAAGCATCCTCACTGAAACATTCCTGCGTGGTTTCCAAGATAGCAGCTGGGCTTATTTTTATTGCTTTAAAGATCGGTTGCCTCCTATGCTTCTCCAGGGGATGGAAGAATACTTTGTCTTATTAGTGGTTTTCATTCATGAAGTAAACATTTACTGAGCATGTAACTGGCTTGACTCCTTGTCCTTAGGAGCCCACAGACCTGACAGATAGGAATGAATAAATGATGATGCTGTGTCAGGGGTGTAAGTGGTGGAAATGGAAGCTTATGGGACCAAATCAGGATCACAGGATGTTAAAGGTAGATTTTCAGTTTCCCAGGTGAAGGGTGACATACTGCAGGAGAGAGCATGCGCTGTCTCAGGTGCGCTGTGTGTGCTGCTGGAATGTGAGGCTTGTGAAGGGAGGAGGACGAGCTAAGGGAGGTGAGGTTGGAGAAGTGGTTTGAGGTCAGTACTCAGAGGGACTTGCAGGCAGTGCTCAGGAGTTCAGATGTTATCCTGTGGTGCGTGGAGAACCATTCTGGAGTTATAGAAGGAGAGAAGCGCCATCAGTTATGATCCTGGTGGAGGATGGGTGGTGTGGGAGGAGACTGGAGTTTGGGAGGTGAGTAAGGGGGCTATTGCATCTGAACCCGGGAGCCCTGTGATTTGGGAGCACATTGTTGGTCCCTTCTGTATTTGAGCTTGGGGAGCAGGGAAGAGCCTGCTATAGAATTCCCAGAACTTTTAGGTTCAGAGTTAGAATACATGAGGGGGTCTCAGAGTTAGAGTACATGAGATCTATCCAGACTGCTGGTGGAGAGAAGATCCTAAACTGGCAGAAGTGGAAATCCCCCTGTTAGGTCTAAATGCCTGACTGAGATCGCTTACAGAATCCAGTGAAGAGGCTTTAATCCGAGAAAGCCAATGGGAAACTGATCTGTGATCCAACATGTGTTTTGTATTATCCTGAACTCAAAGACCTAGGAGTGTAAGATGGAGGCAGAGACCAGGCTGTCACTGACCCTGGTGCTGAAAGCCACAGGTGGGGAGTACTAAGAAAGGGTCAGGGATAACTCGCAAGTAGCTGTCCCTCATACCAGAGCCAACCACCCTGGTATGAAGCCATTTGCTCCCTAGGAAAGGAAAAAGAAGAGGGGTTAATGTTTGAGGAGTTCAGAAGCCCCAATGCTTAGGCAAAGAGAAGGGAGCAGATGGATAGATGGGAGTGCATGTTCCAGTACAGAGTGTAGCATGCTGTTCAGTTCCTGTGGGATAGCATATAAAGAAGTGGTTCAGAATAGGGCGCAGACTTAGCTGGTTTCAAATTCTGCCTTTGCCTAAGGACTCACTACCCAAATGACCTGGGTTAGGGTGGCCAGGACCCTGCATTCTTGGCATACCCAATAAGGCATGTTGGAGACTACAGAGCCAGAGACTATGGAGGACCGTCTCCGAGCAGGTGGTTGGCAGAATTCAATGGGATGATGCATGTGGAGTGTGTGCCAATAGGAAGCTCTCAATCAGTGTTATCTCTTAAAATGTTTGTGGGCTGTGGAAAGACTGGCCCAGCGATGACATGGTCAGGTATCATAGTCTCTGACTGGTGTTCAGTGTTTAGACAAGACTGAATGTCGTGGTGTTGACAGGACCCTGTGGAAACTGTAAAGGAGGAAAGCTAACTGTCAGTTGCTTGTGTATAGCTTTTGCCTTCTTGCACACATTGCATACCCAGTATATCCCTGGGGCATGTATTCTGCTAGCTCTTGGTAAATTTTTTCTAACTCTCTTTCTTCTTATATATAATCAAATGAAGTTATTTCTTGAGCTTAATGTTTGTGGTTTACCTAATTTGAAATAAAGTACAGTAAGCCTTAAGAAATAGGGTATTTGTTTATACATATATTTAGCAAAATTCTTGATAACTAATTCCAGTCTAATGAAACTTTAAATCTATATGATATATAAGAGTATAAAAAAAGTAGAACTAAAGGATGTTTAAAGATTAGCTCAACTTTCCTGTTTTATATACAAGGAAACTGAGGCAAGAGAAATGAAGATGTTGACTAAAGAGTGGTCACAGTTGATGAGTGACAGATGTGGTTCTGGACTTTAGCTTCTGGCCTGTCCAGGAAAACTTGAATCCATCAGGGCATATAGAGGAAACTGAAGGGAATCCGTCTACACTGTTTTTGGGTAAATATCTGTGTTCACTCAAGAATGAACAAATAGAAACACTAACATTCGCAAGGACCTACTGAGGAAATCAGCAGCAAAAGGGAAATAAACAAGGCATGCAAGAACTAAAGGAAGAGCAGGATTTGGGGAAAAGTTTCCAAGCCTTTACTCATGAGACTGAAATACATTTCAAACATCATCATCTTTGTTCTCTCAGAGAAGTTATAGATGCTCTGAAAGATGAGATGATGAGTCAGCAGACTGAGATGAAAAAGGAGCTTGAGACTTAAAGAACATGAAATAAATCACACAATGCAGCATCTGAAATTAGCCGGCACTACAGAGAGTCAGGAGTCAAGAGGAGGATCCACTGCCCATCTCAGAAGGGTCAGGAAAGCAACAGGAAACCCCAGATGTGGATGATGGACCAGATCGGAGATCAGAACAAATGGAATAGAAGTAATCCTCAATTTTCCTGAACTGAAGAAGACCTGAAGGGTTCATCATGAATCAGGCAAAACTAGCAAACTAGGTAACACTTAAAATAATATCCAGGTGAAGAAATTTTTAAATTTTGAGACTGAAGAGAGGATACATAAGCATCTAGGAGAAGGAAACTTAAAGTCAAAGGGGAAAAAAAAGACTAGGCTGGTCTTAGACTTGTCTACAGTAGGTTCCAGAAAGCTGTGGAGCAGTACCCATTGAATTTTGAGGGAAGAGGGTTATGACCCAATAATTTTATACTCAGCCAAGTTTCAGTTCACATTTGACAGTAAAGAAATTAGGGGGTTCCATGGTGTAATGGTTAGCACTCTGGACTCTGACAGTAAAGAAATTCATTTCAGTCATGCAAGATCTGTCATGGTCCCAGCTGAGCAAGGGTCTGGTACATTCAAGAAGTAACAGCAAGCCAGTGTGGCTGGGACACCGATACTTGGGAGACACTATAGTGTTCCTGCCCTGGTGTTCACAGCACTGTTTTCCTGACCTGCAATGGGAATTCGGACAAATTCTACAGTTGCTGAGGCTTCTTCTTCAGAGCTCCCATCTGTCACCAAAGCATCCTCACTGAAACATTCCTGCGTGGTTTCCAAGATAGCAGCTGGGCTTATTTTTATTGCTTTAAAGATCGGTTGCCTCCTATGCTTCTCCAGGGGATGGAAGAATACTTTGTCTTATTAGTGGTTTTCATTCATGAAGTAAACATTTACTGAGCATGTAACTGGCTTGACTCCTTGTCCTTAGGAGCCCACAGACCTGACAGATAGGAATGAATAAATGATGATGCTGTGTCAGGGGTGTAAGTGGTGGAAATGGAAGCTTATGGGACCAAATCAGGATCACAGGATGTTAAAGGTAGATTTTCAGTTTCCCAGGTGAAGAGTGACATACTGCAGGAGAGAGCATGTGCTGTCTCGGGTGCGCTGTGTGTGCTGCTGGAATGTGAGGCTTGTGGTGAAGGGAGGAGGACGAGCTAAGGGAGGTGAGGTTGGAGAAGTGGTTTGAGGTCAGTACTCAGAGGGACTTGCAGGCAGTGCTCAGGAGTTCAGATGTTATCCTGTGGTGCGTGGAGAACCATTCTGGAGTTATAGAAGGAGAGAAGCGCCATCAGTTATGATCCTGGTGGAGGATGGGTGGTGTGGGAGGAGACTGGAGTTTGGGAGGTGAGTAAGGGGGCTATTGCATCTGAACCCGGGAGCCCTGTGATTTGGGAGCACATTGTTGGTCCCTTCTGTATTTGAGCTTGGGGAGCAGGGAAGAGCCTGCTATAGAATTCCCAGAACTTTTAGGTTCAGAGTTAGAATACATGAGGGGGTCTCAGAGTTAGAGTACATGAGATCTATCCAGACTGCTGGTGGAGAGAAGATCCTAAACTGGCAGAAGTGGAAATCCCCCTGTTAGGTCTAAATGCCTGACTGAGATCGCTTACAGAATCCAGTGAAGAGGCTTTAATCCGAGAAAGCCAATGGGAAACTGATCTGTGATCCAACATGTGTTTTGTATTATCCTGAACTCAAAGACCTAGGAGTGTAAGATGGAGGCAGAGACCCGGCTGTCACTGACCCTGGTGCTGAAAGCCACAGGTGGGGAGTACTAAGAAAGGGTCAGGGATAACTCGCAAGTAGCTGTCCCTCATACCAGAGCCAACCACCCTGGTATGAAGCCATTTGCTCCCTAGGAAAGGAAAAAGAAGAGGGGTTAATGTTTGAGGAGTTCAGAAGCCCCAATGCTTAGGCAAAGAGAAGGGAGCAGATGGATAGATGGGAGTGCATGTTCCAGTACAGAGTGTAGCATGCTGTTCAGTTCCTGTGGGATAGCATATAAAGAAGTGGTTCAGAATAGGGCGCAGACTTAGCTGGTTTCAAATTCTGCCTTTGCCTAAGGACTCACTACCCAAATGACCTGGGTTAGGGTGG